CCACGAAAGCTTATGCTCTAATAAATTTGTTAGTCTCTAAGGTGCCACAAGTACTCCTGTTCTTCTTTTAATAATATAACAGAGCCTTCATAGACCAATACCTACTGAATAAACAGAACACGTTGAAAGAACTTTTTGTGCCACCAGGTTATTCGTTAAAGGGTTTCCTTGGTATTATTACACATATTGATATGATTGCAATAAGTCACCATATCACACACTACAGGGATTTTAAATGGGATGTACTAATTCTAAAAATATTTCTCCTATGCTAAATCTCCCACTTCAATCAAAATATGAAACTATGCACTAAGAATAACTACATTGCCATTAAATCAGTGATACTAAATAAGACTGAACCAATCCCTATTTCCCCAGCAGAAAAAATGACTTGAGAGAAATAACCCTCCAGCACCTAGCCCTATCTCATAATATAGGACTGTTCTTATATTTTCTGTTCTTCATACTTTCCTTTAAAAAATGTCTGATTCTTAAAGTGTATGGTCTACATAAAAGTGGGTGTCATTAGGAGACAGCTTTATCCTCTATATTTGTTCCCAGCCATTCAGAGATACTAAGCTGCTGTACAATTGCTGTTTATAAATCAATGTTTATTTCAAAGGAATCAAGTGGAAAACATAGGACAGAGGACACTTGCTCAGGGAAGATTTGGTCAGCCATATACTGTATCTTGTATCTAGCAGTGCATGTTGAAAACAATGGGAAAAGTTTCAGACCCAACTTCTACTTTTTCTTTTCTTAATTTAAATTATATTTTAGTAGCCAGATAAAATAAAGCATGGGGATATATGTATTTCATACTAAGCAAATACTGTTTAATTATATAAATGTGTAAACAGCACAGTTTTACAACTAGGGTCAGCTCTTCAGTCCTTATTTGATGTCAATGGGAATTTTGTCTGAGTAAAGAGCGCAGGATGAGACTGACCCAGAATTATGAAAATGGCAGAGCTGAGCATGGGACGTCCATAGAAACATCTCTCAGTAATTAGTTTATGTCGATGACCATATATATCCTGAATTAACATTTATTAGACTATGATCTTGCTTCCTTTCCTGCAGTAAGTAGCCCCATTGACTTTGAAGTCCACAGAAGATAATCATACAATTAAGGACAAATTTATGATTTTATGATTGCTTAATTATGCTATTTAAATACCAGATTTGCAGCATGAACATCTTCCAGTGGTTAAGTATTGTTGGCTATTTTACATACACGTTATTCCAAAATTTAGTTACCAGAAATGAAGCTGTAGACAATTTCTTTCCTGGAATGTGGGTTCTACCCCACCCCCAAGCTGGCATTGCACAAACTTATCTAGAGCAAACAAACTCAGGAGCTTGTGCAAGAGGCCTCAGGTAACCAACTGGGGGCGTGTTGCATGCAACTCTTCAAACAGAAGAGAACATAATGATTAATCTAAGCAGTTCAGGAAGGTTTAAAATTAAGCAAAAACCAAGTGGAAGGTATCCTTTCCGTCAGACTCCTCCTCAGCCTGCCACCGAAGATGATACTTCTGAGGATCTTGTGCACATGGCTGTGCCTCAGCGTAGTCTGGGTATGATTTCACTTTATTTGACTCTTTTGATATCTTGGCTTTCTCTTTTGAGAAAAAGGGCATTTTATTGAATGAATATTCACGTAACAAACTAAAACAAATACTCTTTGGTTATGACATAGCTTGAAAAAGACACAGACACACACTCACACAAGCCTACCCTAACCACTTCATTACTGGCCCTTCCCACTTGAGTCTCTTCTGCATTTTACTGCCAATCTGGTTCCTCAAGAAGCACTGGAGATGAATTTTGCTGAAGGTATCTGGCAGCGCGAAGAAGATAAATGGCCAATAATCAGTAGATTCAGAGGTGAGGCTGTAAGTCCTTAACCTATTCCACTGCACCTAGGTACAGAGGTCTCCAAGCACTGTGTGGGATTTTAGATGTTATTAGCCAAATTCTACTCTCAGTTGCACCCCTGGATCCCAGTTGCCTTCAGTGGGATTCTCTGGTTGTACATGAGACAGAATTTGGTCCAATCTTTGCTGTAGTACGTAGGCACAGAATAAGAATGTTGCCATTGATTTCAGTGGTAGCATTGTCAGGCTGAAGGAGAGCTAAGGAGTAATATCTTTTTCAATAAGAAGAGCAGTAGCCTTAGCTCCCAGCTATGCTAATTTAAACCTGTTGTTGGCTAGTTTAAGATTCAGCCTATAATACTCTGGTAAATTCTTATATACACATTTCCTTATTATTCTTTTTGAAAGAAATGAAGAAGTCAGAGTGTGTGTGGGTGATCTGATCAAACAGAAAGGGTCAGTTTGGAGCTATTACAATCTATCATGTACTTGTGTGTAAAGTCAATTTTTAAAAGCCCATGGAACATATTTAGGAACTTAATTTTTTTTTTTGCTCATTAGATTAAAGATATGTATGGGCCAGATCCTCAGTTGGTGTAAATCAGCAGTAGTCTGTTGATTTCAACGACTTTACCCCAAACTAACTGAGGAGCTGGCTCTGGAAGCTAAGATCTTCCTCATCTCTGAGTTAATTTTTATTCTACTTTGATAATTTGTAATGTGGTCAAAGGTACCCAGTGACACCTGATACCTCCCAAAGACACCTGTACTATCTGTTAGAGAAATAGAAATATTGCTGTGATCACTTTCCTGAACAAAGATTAGTATGCATGGTCAAAAATCCTTATGACATTTTGATTTAGAATTGGTGAACAAGGACTTTTTCCTCTTTCAGGATTAAACAAAATCTTGGTATGTTTATTTCCTCCCTCAGTCACCATATTAGTATTATTTGCCTGTGCTTTTAAAGCTATGCCTTCCAATAAAGAGTTATAAACAATTTTGACCTCTTGTAATTTAAAACCACCAGAAGTAATAAAGAGAGATCACCACATAGCATTTCTATGCCTAGTTGTAGCCTAAAGTGTAGACTGAAAATAGAGGTTTATTTTAGAAAAACTGAGGGGCTTAATTAAAAGACTATCAATTCAGTTTAAAGCAGTTGTTTTTATGTAAACATATAATATTAAATGCATGCTTAATCATTCTGTTATTAAAAATATCTTAAGCATCATCCAATACCATAGTTATATGCTTTAACTAGATTAGAAGGAGACTCTTATTTGGACAAAACAAAATAATTTCATGCAGGAAACTTATGGACTAGATTACTTACACTGACTGATTATATTTTTCCACATGCCTATTTCTGCCATAGGCTAACTGTTTCATAGAATGTTCAGTGACTTCAGTTTTATTACTTCATTTTACTGCTGTCTATAAAACTAATCTCACTTTTGCTTTTTTCCCTTGTCTCTATGGCAGGCAACAGATGAAGATAGCCTATTTTTGAAGGAGGGAGGAGGTGTGCGTGGCCCGAGGGTGATGGAACATGGAATCCAATCCGAGTGCAAACAGGATAAGAGCTGGCCTTTCTGTGCAGATGATGACTGGGTAAGAAAAGAGGAGGGAAGCAGAAAGCTTAGCTAATCACTGCTACTCAAATGGACCTTAGGTGCACTACACTTCCTTGGTGCCATGAACGTTTACTAAATATATCTTAGATCCAACATGGTATATCTGTAATGCATCAGTTATCACAGCTGTTTTACCTGATTTTCAGGAAAAACTGCTTCATGGGTCAGCAAAGTACTTGTAAGTGCATCAGAGTTGTTTTCATAGTTACAGTCCCACCACCACGCCACTAGAATCCACTATAACACCAATAGTGCATTCATTATTGGATCTTCAGAGCACCAGGATCCAGGCTCAGTGAGTGCTGCAGGGCTACCCTTTGCCATGTGCCAAGCGAATAGTGGCACAGAGCCTCCCACTTCCAAGCATTTTGTGTGGAGAGAGGGAAAAAGAGACAAAGGGATAGAGCAAGGAGGGTGAGAAGATCACAGAGGAATTAAAAATGAGCCAGTGAAAGAGAGAGAGAAAGGAAAGGAAAAAAGAAATTGAAGTAAGTTTAGAGAAAGACAGAATCAGAAAAGTGCCTTAAAGAGAAAGAACAGATAAGAGTGGGAAATTTTCAAGAGTATTGATACCCAAGGACTAAATGAGTGGTGGTGGGGAGGAATATTTACTGGCAGGAAAGAAATGTGGAAAGGAAGAACAAAAAGAAGTTACTTTATATAAAATCTGATGACAAAATGTTCAGTAAAATATACACACTGTTTGATTGACTGGATGTATGTTTGTATAAGCACCCAATCATAAGAGGTCAGGTCCTACACCATCTGACGTTAATGAGAGTTTTGCCATTAACACCAATAAGAGCATGAGCATTATGTATAGTGATTGTTGCTTTGAAAATAGTAATTGGTGCTCCTTTGAGTCCTCTCAGTCTTAAGCCTCCTTTGGGCACTTGCCATTTGTACTTTGGTGTGTTTCCAAATCTCCTTGCTTTTCTAGGAACATTTTGCTTTTCTTAGGCAAACTTCTCTTATAGAGGTGCAGATTCTGCCACTCTTCCTCAGACTGAATAATGAATTAATTCTCACAGCACCTCTGGGAGGGTTTGCCATTATCCCCATATTACAAATGGGGAACTGAGACTGAAGGCCTGATTACCCACTCCATCACAGCAATTTTACACTGGTTTAACTCCAGTGATTTTGATGGAAATATACCATTGTAAAACTGATGTAACAGGATGAAGAATCAGCCCCACATTAAATTTCCAAGGTCACAGAGGAAATCTGTAGCAAAGCTAGGGACTGAAAGCAGGTCTTTTGAGTCCCAGTCCAGAGTCTTAACCACAAGACATCCCTCTTCTACTGAAAATAATTGGACTAATAGTGGAATGAGTGGAGTATGTAAGATAAATGAGGGAATGAGGCAGAATCTGGCCCTGAGCTCATTAGTGGGTTTCCAGGTTTGTACAAAACTTGGTAGTCATAATACTAAAGAAATGTGTATCATTAAGATATTTATCTTTCATTTTTGCTCATTTTAGGGTCACAAATGTCCTTCAGGCTGCAGGATGCAAGGATTGATTGATGAAACTGATAAAGATTTTCATCATAGAATACAAAGAATTAGGAACCTGTTGTTAGATAATGAAAACAAGTACAAAAAATCTAACGTGTTAACTGTGGAAACAATTAACATCCTGAAAGGAAATGTGGCCAGTGGCCACGGTAAGTATTAACATATGCGTTGTTCTAAAATATATACCAACATTATGTTAACTTCTGCTAAAAGCAGCCAGTTGAAAGCAGGTTTACTTTGTCCTTCTTGTAAGATAACCATGACTTAAAAATATTGGGCCTGACTCTTCTCCGGATTGCACCAGTTTTATGTTAGTGTAACTACATAGAAATGGAATAATACATCTTAAAGACCTGTACTTTATGCCTTTCCTGCAGTTAATGAGATTTTTGAGTGTGCAAGAAATGCAGGATCAGGCCCTAAATCTATATCTGAAAGAAAGATTTCAAAAGCAGGCCTGGGGGGAGAGATAGCAGCTGTTGGCTATGGCAGGTGCAGAATTAGAACAACAATAGTTTTCTGCAGTATTGATCTTCAAACACAGCAATTTACATGGGGCTGAATCCTGTAATCCCTTTGAAAGAGAAACTCTCATTGATTTTTTTAAAAAGTCACTTGTTCTTTTACCATAGTTTTGAGACTATTGCTGCATCCCTGTAGAAGAGAATGCTTAATTATTTTTGAAAACATGAATGTTTCCTTTTCAGAATTATACTTTTGCAAGAAAAATATTTGTGCAAAAGCAAGACTATATTTGCATCTTGTATCTAATTTAACATATCTAAAATCTTCATGATTATAGTCCATGTTTGTTTCAACCACATAAATTTCATACGTTTATTGCAATATTTTCTTTTTAAAAAATGGTAATTCTGTCCTACAAAAGGAATCAAAATGTGTGTTTTCTTTCCAGCACAGCTGGGCTAATGTTTCCAAAACACACTAGGTTCCTTTCCTGCACTATTTTGCACAACCAATTAATATTTAATTAAAATAAATATGCCATAATACTGCTTATTATCAAAAAGGCAGATCATACATAATAACAAGACTCTTAACTAAAATAAAATCTTGTGCTAATTTCTACCTATCCAATATTATGGTATACATATATACTTAAAATTCTAAATGGATCTTTTTCCATGTTAATTTGGATCCTTGTAAATGTATTTCTGATTTTTATTTATTTAATTTGTATCTGCTATTCTTGGGGGAGAAATCTCCCATGAGGCTGACAAGGACATTTTTCTGTTCCAGAGAGTGACATTAAATATGGACAAGTTTCAGAAGATCTGAGAAGGAGACTTGTGACATTAAAGCAGAAAGTTTTTGTCCAAGTAAACAGGATTAAAGAACTGCAAAACAGTATCCGAGATCAGGTTGTAGAGATGAAGCGCTTGGAGGTAGGTGACTGTCATGTAACTTCTGTTATTTCCAAAGCACAGCTACAAAAAACAGGACCTATCAGTCCTTACATCCAGAGGAATTCTTCAGCTGAAAAGAAAATGGACCAATAATTTCACAAGTTCTACCTTCAAACCAAACTCCGCCTATATGAGACAGATGTCCCCTCAGACTCAGATAGGCTTGGTTTCTGCTCAATGAGGCTCAGATCCTCCTATGTGAGATTCAGATGCCCCTTAGCAGGCTTGTAGGCTCCCTCTGAGTTATTGTCTGTGTAGTTGTTCCTCTTGTGTTAGTGGGAGAGTTTCTGCCTACTGCCCTCTCTCGGGCAGGAAACAAGAATAGTTAGTGCTGCATTTCCCTACAACTGGCACTGATTGGCCTCAGTGAGTGATGCTCCTCCTTCTCCAAGGAGCTGCAGGTGTGGCTGATGAGAGACTTGTGAGCAGCTAGGGTAGGAGGGAGCACCTATAAAGGTATCTCATCTCTTTTCTGGTCTCTCACAGCTGGCGTATAGCCCATCTATGTTTGTATTAAGATCTTTGGCCTTTTGATTAGCTAGTTGCATTGATGACAACACAAGGTGGCTGTAAGGCAGCAGTAGGACAGGCTGAGGAGCAAAACCAAAATGATGGGCTGCCAAAATATGTCCTGGCTCACCAAGCAGGGCGAGCAACATCATTTTGAAGCCTGATCCAGAGGCTAATTCTTCTTTTCATCAGTCACTCCTTTGAACCAGTTATTCCCACCACCATTATACATACCAGTAGAGTTAGGGCCTTACCAAACTCACAGTCCAATTTGGTCAATTTCACAGTCATAGGATTTTTAAAATCGGAAAATTCATGATTTCAGCTATTTAAATCTGAAATGTCACGGCTTGTAATTGTAGGGGTCCTGACCCAAAAAGGAGTTGTGGGGAGGTCGCAAGGTTATTGTAGGGTTATTGTAGCAAGGTTATTGCTACCATTACTTCTGCCTTCAGAGCTGGGCAGCTGGAGAGTGGCAGCTGCTGGCCGGGATCCCAGCTCTGAAGGCAGAGCTGCTGCCAGCAGCAGTGCAGAAGTAAGGATGCCATGGTATGGTATTGCCACCCTTACCTTTGTGCTGCTGCTGACTGCAGTGCTGGGCACTCAGTTAGTAACCGCCACTCTCCAGCCACCCGTTTCTGGAGGCAGCAGCACAGAAGTAAGGGTGGCATGGTATGGTATTGCCACCCTTACTTCTGCACTGCTACTGGTGCAGCGTTGCCTTCAGAGCTGAGCGCCTGGCCAACAGCCGCTGCTCTCCAGCTGCCCAGCTCTGAAGGCAGTGCAGAAATAAGGGTGGCAATACTGCAACCCCCTCTGCAAAGCCCTTTTGGGTCAGAACCCCCAATCTGAGAAACACTGGTTTCCCCAAGAAATCTGTATATTATAGGTTAAAAGCACACAAAAGACCAGATTTCACGGTCCGCAATGTGTTTTTCATGACCGTAAATTTGGTAGGGCCCTAAGCATAGCCATGTGATTTTTTTGACAGGTATACTATAGGTATACCTGCAAGGGCCCAATTCTGCCACTCTGCCTTGCTCTGAGTAGTACCTTACTCCAGAAGACTCCTACAGAAATCAGTGGGACCATACTACACAGTGTGAATAAGAATGGCAAAAATTGGGCCCTTGCAGGGATGATTCTAGGACTCCAGTATTGCCAATTATACATGCTGTAACCATCAGTGGATCTTTGGTGCTTCAGATTTAAAGACTGAGATTTGGAGTAGCCCAAGTTCAATTGTAGGCTGGAGCACACACAGTTGAATGAGAGGCAGTGGGCTCTAGTGTAATCACCAGAGTTCTCACTCTGGTAAAAAGAGAGAGTTGTTTGAAAGAGACAGGGATCACCATCTAAACAAATGTATTTCTCTCTATCTCTTGTAAAGGTGGACATTGATATTAAGATACGTGCCTGCAAAGGATCCTGTGCTAAAAGTTTCAGTTACCAAGTGGACACAGAGAGCTATGAAAACATCCAGAAGCAGCTCACACAGGCCAATTCAATCAATCTGCAGTCTGAACTTGAAACTAGTTCTTTGAAGGTGCTGAAAATGAGGCCACTGAAGGACTCTACTGTTCCTGGGCATTATAAAACTGTGGGTCAGCCAGAAATCCAAGAGCTAACCATCCTTGATGATATTAAACAGGTTGTGATGACCCTAGAAAGGCCAGAAGCAGAGGCAAAGGGATCCTCAGTAGAGACTTCTTCACATGTTTCAGTAGGATCAGATGTAGGTGGAGGACCACGAGATGGCAAAATAGTGACTTCTGATCATGGAAAGGCATCTGGTGGTTTGGGAGAAAGACCTAGCTCCTCTGTAATCCACCATACATGTATCAAAACTATCACCAAAAAAATTATCAGTGGTCCTGGAGGCCCTAGAGAAGAGATTGTTGAAACAATGACTTCACCTGATGGTTCTGACTGCTCCAAATTTCAAGGTTTAGGGAAGGAAGAAGTAGCAGAGCAAGGGGGCACCTTGAATGTCAGAGTGACCTCTCAGGGTGAGAGAGGAGACTTCCCTGACTTTGATGGCTTAACTCCAGACTTTGGAAAAATTTTTACCCCAGGGTTTGGGTCTGCTGGTAGCAAATTCCATACCACCTACACAAGCACTAGTGGCACTGACCGTGGAACTGGAACTGGAAGTTTTAGCAGTGGTGGATCTGCTAGTCACACTATGAGTTTTGGAGGGTCGGAGAGTTTCACAGATCTAGGGGAGGGGGAAGAGGATGTCTTTGACACATCTAAATTCCCTTCCAGCAAAGTTCAGAGTGGCAGTTCGGCTCATTCCAAGACAATAAAGACCAGCAGCAGTAGCAGCTCTACTAGTTTCAACAAGGGTGGCTCCACTTTTGAAACCAAATTGCTAAAGAGCCGAGCAGTGACTGAGGAGTTAGGTGGGTTGCAACATGATGAGAGTGGAGAGGATACCCCAGACTTTCGGGCACGCAGCTTGAGAACAGGAGGAGAGAAGCTTGGAACAAGCTACACTGGGACAGGTATCCATCCACATGACTGAAAATAGATCCTGAGTTAGCAGAGCCAGATTCAGTCCACAATCAAACTGACACGCTGGTTACACTGCAATCCATTTAATTTGATTATACAATGCAAGCAATGTGTCTGTTTGTTGCCATTTAGGATAGGTAGAGACAAAATTTTATATCAATAATTGGATACTAAATGAATTGCACAGAGAATGTTATCTGCAATTTAAATTGCATGTAAACTCTATTTTTTAATGTTGCATGGCACATTTCCCAAAATATGGTTAGCAAGTTCCCCTCAACATTATTACTGTTTGGATTCCCGTGAGCCTATGTAAAGTTTTACTGATAACTTCTGTGAACCAGATCAACTTTTTTTTTAGACTGTGATGATGTCCGCCAGAAACACACTTCTGGTGCCAAAAGTGGCATTTTCAGAATCAAGCCAGCAGGATCCGATAAAGTTTTTTCAGTTTATTGCGACCAACAGACCACTTTGGGAGGATGGCTTTTGATCCAACAGAGATTGGATGGATCAGTGAATTTTAACCGGACCTGGCAAGACTACAAGAAAGGTTTTGGCAGCGTGGATGACAAAGGGAAAGGAGAGTTCTGGCTGGGCAATGAAAACATCCACTTACTGACCCAGAAGGACACTGTCCTTCGAATCGAATTAGAGGACTGGGCTGGCAATGATGCTTATGCAGAATATAATATACATGTAGGTTCTGAGTCAGAAGGCTATGTCCTCAGCGTCTCTGCTTATGAGGGGACATCTGGGGATGCACTGATCATAGGCTCAGTGGAGGAAGGTAGTGAATACACAGCACATGCTAACATGAAGTTCAGCACCTTTGACAGGGACAGGGACCAATGGGAGGAGAACTGTGCTGAAGTGTATGGAGGGGGCTGGTGGTACAACAACTGTCAAGCTGCTAATCTCAACGGCATTTACTACCGAGGAGGCCAGTATGACCCAAGGAACAATGTTCCTTATGAGATTGAAAATGGAGTGGTCTGGATACCATTTAGAGCCTCAGACTATTCTCTCAAAGTTGTTAGAATGAAAATTAGGCCCATAGAAACCCAGTAGTCAAACTACAGTAAAACAGGTTATTTTATTTTTGTTTAATATACCTCAAAATACATGGTGTGTCTTTACCCAATCAAACCGAAGGCAACTGAGACACATTTGTGCTTTAAAAAAATAAACATTGTTTAATTGTAAAAGCATTTCTTCTGTCTTCTTATTCACAACTAATACAGCTTGCAAAAAATGTCAAGTTTTATAAATCTTTATAAAGAATAATAAAGTTATGATATTATAGTAAGCATAGCTATTACAGGATTTCAGGAAACATATATTTCTGATGGGGAAAGTGTTTCTCCGCTGAATTTTGTTAAGTATTTTCACAAATTAAGCAAACACATACACTTAAGGTGATAAAGTCAAATAATGATTGTAGCTTGCTGGTCTCTTCTAATCAGTTACCAATATTCTAGAAGAAGTTAATTAATAAAAAATACACTAATATACAGTGATTTTTTCAGGACATAGTTGGAGTTCAACTTGCTGATAATTCGGAGGGGGCAAGCTAATAGATAGATAGATAGATAAATAATTTCTGGGGTCAATAGATCACATTTTAAATCAAGAATTACATTCAATACACAGAAAAAATCAAATAACATCAAAAGGTGGAATTTGAACAGTGCTTTGCAACAAGCCAACTGGTTCCCATAGTAGTCCCTTTCCATTCCACATTCTTTTTAAGACATACCATTGTCTGGCTATGCCGAAAGAATGACAGGAGACATTAGATATGGGTTTAATCAGGCTGCAACTTTATTATTAGACAGATGTCTGGGACTAACCCGGTGGATAAAATGTGTGCAGTACAGGTGCAAAATGTATGTCCTTCCAGCAGATTCCCTGCTGAGACCTTACTAATTCCAGACAATTTTGGGGGGGGGCTTCCACAGCTCCCTCCCCCCCATTTATCGAGATTCCTCCAGCAATTCCCTTGCCGGGAACTTACCACTTCCAGCCAATTCCAGTGGGAGGGGGGGCTTTCACCAGCTCCTCCCCCTTCTCATCCAGGTCCCTCCAGCAATTCCCTTGCAGGGACCTTACCAACCACACCCCCTCATAGGAGGGGTTCAGGTGGACTATAATGATGCGGGGGTTAGCTCACTGCTGTACCAATTATAGGAGTCCCCAACTGCCCCCCGGTTTGCTCAATTACCAAGCACCTCTCCTTAATTCCTTTTCCAAGCCATTTTTTCGTTCTTTTGTGCCTTAATTTATTGAGTACCTGCACTGAACATCCGCTATACACTTAAATAAAGAGTTGCGTTCTGAGTGAAGAGGGAGTGGCCAGGCCCAGCTGACCTTTTTAAACCCATCATTCCTAGGTGGTAAGTCATCTATCATGCTGGCTGCTCTTTCAGCAGCTTTACGTCTCCCCTCCTCCCCCAAGCATTGCCTTCTTCTCCCAGCCAGCCAGCCAAACTCCTCCCTGCTGAAGGGTGGCGATTTGCTGAACTTAATCATTTACCTCAACTACACTGAAGAATTTTTTAAAAGTCACACAAACTCTTATTGCAATATTCTAAAATATTCCTTGAAAAGGGACACTTAGGAATGGGAGCCATCCTTTAACAAGTTAGAAAATGAGTGGGTACCCATGCCCAAAATTATACAATACATCACTTACAATACAAAGTTTATATTTTTTCAGAATGAATTGTTAGACTAACACTGGGCCTTTTCAATGGTAAACCCAAAAAATCTAGAGTATCTTCTCCTTTCCAACACATGAACATCCTTTACTCACAAGCAGGACATCACATAAGTCACATAGGCAATTTATAAAACTTTTACAACCCTTTACAAATGCCCACTAAATCAAAATGCAATTATTGCTCTTGAAAGTCACTGTACAAATAGCATTGTTGGATCCAGTATTTGCCTGTCATAAACTCCCAACATAAGAGCAATTCAGTTAGAGAGGAAGGTTGCTTTTGTGGAGAAGTCATTGGACTGGGACTCCAGGAATGTGGGTTCAATCCCGTTTTGCTTCAGATTTCCTGTCTGACCTGGGGCAAATCTAAATGACTTGCCCCGGGTCAAACATGAAATCTGAAGCATTCTGTCCCTCAGTTTCCCATCTGCAAAGTGTGGATAGTACTGTATTATTTCCTCTCTGTGTGTGTTTTGGCCAGTGGATTTGTGTAGTCAACAATTGAACAGTCTCATGCTGCACCCCTCCCAAAGGTCCCTGCACACTGTGGTGAAGTGAATCTCCACACAGCGTACAGTGTGGTGTGCTAGGAGTGTCCCATCTTGCACAGCAGAACAACATTGTTTCTGATGGATTCAGAGTCTCTCATAGCCACAAAGGGGGAAGGAAGGCAGGCTTTACCTTTAATAAATGAAAATACTTATGCATTTGGGGGAATGACTTCTAGATGGCTGTGGACATCTTAGTTCCCAGTCCTGCAAACACTTACACAAGTGTCACTTCCACCCCATCTCTGCCTGGTGGCTAGCTCACCATAAATACTACAGTTTTAAAATAAGATACATCACTGTAACTCACCAAAGCAAGGTTCCCAAAACAACCTTATTCAGGGTGTGGAAAGCATTTGATTGAAAGCCTCTACATTCTGTTAGGGCCTGATTTTGCCACTTTTACTCACATTCAGTAGTACATTGCTGTGAGAGGAATCCCATTGACTTTAATAGGACTAGTAACAGAATACTAGTACTCAGTTTGAATGGTTCATAATAGCATACTAGGTTTAATAGTACATTTTTTCTTTGTATGTTTCTTTCCTGTAGTGTGTAGCTAGGGTTCATATACAAATGTGCTATTTTTTATACAACAGTGTATTGGTAAGAATTTTTTTAATCAAAAGCTTATCTGTATGGAAGAACAATTACATCCTGTGAGTAACAAGGATGCATTGTGCTTATCCTGCAGATGTTTGCCTTTAAGGTTAAAGCTAACCAACAAATATGTACTGTGCATGAGTTTTCTTTGTGTGACTGATAACTGAGAGTGTGAGTGGACTCTCCCTGTTTCTAATCACATGGATTAGCATGTATTGTAACAATATCTTTAGGAACTGACAAAGGGGTAATCATGGACACACTCTTGTAGTCTTCACTCAGTTCTTGTCAGACTAAGCTTCTTGGCTTAACATCAGTGGAGGTTTTGCTGAAGGACTGAGGTCCTCTCCATGACCAGGTGTGGACAGGAACCTGTGGCCATAGAAAGAGGGCTTCTGCCTCCCTATGGAGGCTGTAACAGGGCAGTCTGCCCCTCTATGGGCCAGGAACCTTAGCCAGGCAGGTCCAATTGTAAGACCCAGCTGGGAAGGGGTCAGGTGATACTTATAAAGGGCTGAGAGATCTCAGTTGGAGGAGGGCTGCAGGAGTGAGGTTTGCTTCTGGGACTGGTCCTGAAGTGGAGAGAGGGGTGCTGAGTGAAATGTCACGAGATCCCTTTAACCTGTGTTGGTCAAGGAAATAATTTTGTTTTGTGCTACTTTGTGCATTTTTCTGAATAAGAATACATTCTTTTGCAGTAGTAGAAAACATTTAATGAACATCAATATATCTTCTGCCACCTATTTGAACACATTTGCTTATTCACTGGTAACATATAAATAAGTATAATTTATAAGACACTTTTGTTTTAAGATTTTAGTTACTTTAAACATTTTCTGTGAAGATAAATTATTCTCTCCCACCTCATATCTGATTTTGAATTGTTTTATAAGAAAAAGGAATGGATATTTTTGATATTGATCTATTTCTGGACTAACAAGATAGCTGTCAGTTACTTCCATCCTGGGATCAAGTACAAAGGGTACAAAAGACACTTGCAAGTTTTTTTTAATGGGTCAGACATAGGTTTATATTCAGCATGACTTCTCCAATTCAAGTCACAATATAGTCAGACATATAAACTTTGGAATTTTTGTTTCTCTTATGTAAAGGCAAAATCAAATATCATACACTAAAGAAGTTAACTTTGATATGCACTTGAAAACATTTAATGTTGTTCATTTTAATGATGATTATTGTGGAAAGAATGGTCTAATCTTCATACTCATCTTCTTCAATGAATACCATGACCCTTTCCAGTTCATCCATACAACTCCATCATCTGTGCCGTGTTTTGCCATATCCCAGCTGTACTGCCCTCCCCAATAGTATCTGCCATTGGGATTGGCTGAATGGCATCGATTGTACCACCAACCACCACCATCTTCTTTAGAACACTGTTTTCTTGGATCTGCATGAACCCTGGGAGGTGGGGGGAGGGAGGGAAACACACAGTTAATAGTGACAGATGCACTGTAGCTAAACAATACAATACATTTTTACAAAATACAAAATTTAAAAAAATACAAAATTACTAAAGATAGTTAAGACCCAGGCAGGCTGCGAAGAGCTACAAAAGATCTCTCAAAACTGGGTGACTGGGCAACAAAATGGCAGATGAAATTAAATGTTGATAAATGCAAAGTAATGCACATTGGAAAGCATAATCCCAACTATACATATAAAATGATGGGGTCTAAATTAGCTGTTACCACTCAAGAAAGAGATCTTGGAGTCATTGTGGATAGTTCTCTGAAAACATCCACTCAATACGCTGTGGCAGTCAAAAAAGCGAACAGAATGCTGGGAATAATTAAGAAAGGGATAGATAATAAGACAGAAAATATCATATTGCCTCTATATAAATCCATGGTACGCCCACATCTTGAATACTGTGTGCAGATGTGGTCGCCCCATCTCAAAAAAGATATATTGGAATTGGAAAAGGTTCAGAAAAAGGCAACAAAAATTATTAGGGGTATGGAACGGCTTCCATATGAGGAGAGATATGAGACTTGGACTTTGCAGCTTGGAAATGAGACAGCTAAGGAGAGATGATTGAGGTCTATAAAATCATGACTGGTGTAGAGAAAGTAGATAAGGAAGTGTTGTTTACTACTTCTCATAACACAAGAACTAGGAGGTTACCAAATGAAATTAATAGGCAGCAGGTTTAAAACAAATAAAAGGAAGTATTTCTTCACACAACGCACAGTGGAACTCCTTTCCAGAGGATGTTGTGCAGGCCAAGACCATAACAGGGTTCAAAAAAGAAATAGATAAATTCATGGAGGATAGGTCCATCAATGGCTATTAGCCAGGATGGGCAGGGATG